ACTATTTGTTCCCATAAAATAAAATAAATTCTATGTTATATAGATGGTTACCGAAATTGCATCTTTTTAATATCAACGATCGTCGCCAAAATCAAAGTGCCGAAACTAATTTTTAAAGAGTATTAAAAAAGCCAAAAGCTATTTCATTGCTTTCTAAAAACAGTTTAGGAAACCATCTATGAATTTTTACTCGGGAACGAAAAAACTGGGGCTGTACTCAAAACCAACCGGTCCTTTTTGACTTTTCAACCGGTTCCAACCGGGATCTATTAATATTTAGTATTAGTATGTTAATTGGAATTCCAAAAAGATATACAAGAATAAACAAATAAATAAATAAATCAAATTATTTTTAATTCGAAAAATATATTAATATTAATATATATGCAGCTATACTAATACTAAAAATAATTCCGGTTTGAATCCGGTTGCTACGATCAAACTAGATTTATTACTATTTAAAACTAGAGAAACTGGTACCCATTCCAGATCTTGCTATCTTTTCACGTACCGAACATAATAAATTCATTACCAGTTAAGAGCTCATGTGAATTGTGTTGTACGAGAAAATTTTCCATAAAAACTGGTAATTGCGCAAAAAAAGTCAAATGGCACAACATATTGTTATCGTGCATTCGTTCTTATTCACACACAATATATTTGGAAAAATAATCAAGTTTAAGAAATTTTCCTGAGGTTTTTTAATTGTTTTGTTTGTGTATTTCCTCTTTTAATACCTACCCTTAATGGTATAGTAAGTAAAATGACAAAAGAAATGGTTATAATTGTTTATTCATTTGTTTAAAAGGAGCTCGGTTTGGCAAAAAAAATAATCTTTTACACCCAACATCCCAAGAATGTCAAGGAGTTAAGGAATTAAAAAAAAAATGGACATGTAGCAAAGCCATTGTCCAATTCGCTGATCCAAGATAATAATATCATATACGATTATTAAACCCGAAAAACCAAACCTCCCAAAATTGGCAGGTGAATGAATCAGAATTGCGAATGCATGCGTAGATTAAAGATTGTACATAAATAATTGCCAATAAAACAACATTTGAAAAATAATCTGTGCAATGCTGTTACACCAAGCATTTGTAAAACATAAAAAAAAATCCCCAAATTTATTTTATAATAAATAAAAATATAATATGACGATAATTCCCTCTAGATTAGCTGTAAAAACTGCTACCTCGAGTTCTTTTTTTGAAGCAAGACAAAAGGTTCTTCATTTATATAGAGATTGGCAAAGAGCGGTAATAAATATTCCAAAATTTTTTTTTAAAATGATTGTTTTTATATAAATACTTTTTGGAAATATAATCAATACAATTAACGTTTAAAAGTATAATTAATAAATACAAGCGTTTTAAAACTTAATCAATATAATATATATATATATATATATATATATATTATCAATACAATATAATAATAGTATTTTGTTTATCAATTTTATTTTTAATAAAAAGTCAGGCTCCAAAGACAGCATCACTTTTTTTCTTGAATATTCCTGTTTCAGCTATACGTGCCAAGATCAGAGAAGAATTCGAGAAAAATAGATATGTGACTGATTTAGGTGTAATTGATATTTTGATATTTAAAGGTCGTTCTGAATATGAGGAAACTTTGAATGGTTGGAAAATGGAAACTCACGTCATGAGATACTTTTCCAAAGAAGAAGCTCAAACTCAAACTCCAAAACCGCATTCTTTTCTGGAAAAATTTTATGGTAAGTTTGATGATGGATCGATCGATAAGTGAATAAACGGATAGATTATTAATTATTGTCAATTATCAATTAACAATTATGTAGAGGGAAAAGACTAAAAACAATATATATTTCAAAGTTACAGTAATCTTTCTATCAAAATTAACAAACAACATAAACAAATAAATTCATAATTTATAATAAAATCAAGTTGCCTCTTACTACTATTATTATCAGTCATCGATATTGTGATTAACAGACGGCATATTTATTTTCATTTCTTTTGTTTCATAATACTCAATATCTTCCGTATAATATTGGTAAAGTAATCAATCCAAAGATATATAGTTCATGCTAAGCTTATAATCTTATTTTCATTTTAGTTGATTTGTTTTACTTTAACCTGACTGACACTCGGGCTTTTTCTTTTCTCAAGTGTTGAATAATTTTAGCTCCTGTTTTTCTAGTTCTTTTAACTTTGGTTTAATTTCATGTCGTGGAACAAAATAAATCATTCTAATTTAAATATATTGTTATCATAATTGCATTTAAAAGTTTTGTGATTCCTTTCACTTTTGGATTGTTTCTTATCCTTCCCAAGTTAAACATAACCACTCTCGTAATTTCTGCAGTGAATTGTGTCATTAGTCAACTTAAATGTTTCACAATCACTCTAACCTCTTTGCAAGTCTTGATTAGCTATATAGGGCATGCTGCAACAAAACCAAAGTGAACATTGGTATTACCAAAAATTTCAGGGATCAATATTATTTGTTTAACCGCAACTGTAATTATTTGTTTTTTTTTTTTTTTGTAATAACATTCATTTTCTACAGTTATTGTGTGTTTCTGTTCAGAAAGATTCGATTGGTAAAGGTAATCAATTTTTATTAACTTGTTATAAAATTTCATTTTTAAAACATGTAAAACGTATATGGAAAATAACAAACATAATGGATTTACTGAATATGAAAGAACAATTAATTTTTTAGAAAAAGGTTGCAATTGTGGTTATTCATCAATGGTTTCCAAAAATGAATTTGCAGAATTACCCAAGTCTGAGCAAGACATATTTTTGATGGCCCAACTTAAAGCAATGGATTATGAATTAATAAGCACTAGCAGACATCACAAAACACGCCACAAAGCTTTTGTATTTCTTCAGGGGTAACTTTCACGGCTCACTGACTCTGATTTGGATTTAATGTAATTCTGGCCAAAAACTTCAATTTTTATGCAACAAATTGTGTCGATCATAACTTATGTTACGTTACGGTGCAGATCATCTATAATCATTAATTGCTTATCTCTTAAACGGTCAGAGTATATTTTAATGGTAACTTCTTATTGGTCAATTTAACGATCAACAGTCAATCGACCAACTTTTAAAGAAGATTTTACAAAAACCATAAGGACAACAACTGGATTTTCATTTATAGATTAATCGGCTGAATCTCAAAGATCATTTTTGTATTAGAAAGTGATGCCTTCAGAAAAAATTTTTTTATATCAGAAAAATTTTATCGGCTATCAATAGCCGATTAACCGTTTAGGGGATAGTAACAATTGGTCAACTAAAACAAAAAACATTAAAAAATTTAACCAATAAGTTTTATTGTTCATGACTCAAGCTTCAAAACTTATCGGCTGGTTGGCTGAGCCTTGCATTTTGAAAATTCCGAAATTGAGGCTAAGTAAATTTCGTGTAACAACTTTTTTTTCATAGAATATTGTCTACAAGATACATTTGATTTATTTGACTTATTTATTTCCTTTTTTTTTATTAATAAATAAAAGTATCTTTAAAACAAAAAAGAACATATTACATTAAAAGAAAATCATTACCAAATTTGATCGTGAGATTCAAAATATTGTAACACGAAAATTATTGAGCATAACTTTCAAATTTAAAAAATCTATTACTATGAAAAAGAAAATTTGAGACAAATTTTTTTTAAATTAATAGACTCCATTTTTAAAGCTGAATTGAATGGTGGTGGTTTTTTTAAAATCAAATGTGTGGATCACATAATATTTCAAAAATTTTAACTTTTGAGTATAGATAATCCGCACTGTATTAAAGATTTACCAGAATTAGAGATGTGTCACCGCAGAAAAGAACTAATATAATGTATTCATCAGCTTAAAAAATATTCTTGCATTCACAATAGCACAATATTATCTATATTCCAACCTTACGGGAAGATCCTTTCTATTATCTAGAAAGAAGATTCCTTAACTTGAATGGAGTTGTAAATCATTGGAAACATAATCACAACAATCACAGCTGAATTAAATTTTATGTTTTTAAAGAAACAAAACTTGTAGAAAATTAAAGATGCTAATTGTTCAACCAACTAAAACGCAAATCAAATGGAATAATTTATCTAATGATCTCAAAGTGGCAGTATTATTTCATTCTAATTCAATAATTGATTATACAAGAAGCTTTGGAGAAAATAATATACTCTTTATTAATACAGTCAACCCTCCTCTAAATGTACGCTCTTTTCCAGTCCCAAGCCATAAAATCATCTCTAAATGTACAATCTCCAATGGGGCGCATTTAGAAGGGTTGACTAAAAATTTATCTTTTGATAACGACAATCTAAAATATTTAAAATCCACTTTGTTTACAAAAATACAAATTGTGTATTAGAAGTTTGTTTTCAACCATTTCTATTAAGACTTTTAGAATCAATGGAAACTCTGACAAAGGTTATCATAACTTGGAATATTTTATGAATTAAATCAGATGATTTGTTTAATAGTGTATAATAAAATATTAGAAGTTTTAAATCGAATATTTAATAATATCAAACATACGTGATAATAAGTTTTAACTTGCTACAGCAAAGATCTTTCAATTGGTATGCAAGAAAATATTTATTTATATACTACTTGTTTTAGAATTTCTTTGAAAGTTTTTTTGAAATAAAATAATAAGCAAATAATAAAAATAATATAACATAATAATAATATAATTAGCAAAATATAACAATAGAATATATATATAAAATGTATGTATGTGTATATACAAATAAAAACAAATCAATCAAAAATGCTAATAATAAAATTTTTGATAAAGGATTTTTTTCACGATGATAATGATAAATATGAATTCGCTCGTATAAAATTTTTTTTTTTGATTTCCAAATCTAAAATCTTTTTTTACCCATGTGTGTGTGTATGTTACCTTTTCTATAAATATCTATAATTGTATAATTGTATATTTATGCCCATTTATATTTATATTTATGTATAAAATAAAAAATAAATATTCTTATTAAACAGTATTTTGAGATTTCATCGTGCCATCACTTCTATTTCCATTATCAAAATCACGATTATCAACACTAAAAGTACCATTAACACCAGCGTCGCTACCATTTACACGACGACGTTTATTTACACTACCACCAGCATCACTATTTTCAACGCTAACAGTAGCACTGGCAGCATCATCACCGTCGCCATCACCATCACCATCAGGATCAACATCAACATCGCCAGCTCCACCGCCATTAACATTATTACGACGACGTTTATTTCCACTACCACCAGCACCATTACGTGATTTCATAACTTCAAAACTTTGTAATAAATAATTTTTGCATCTAGCAGCGTTAGGAAGATCTTGAATCATTTTTCGTATAGTTGCTTGAGAGAACCCATAATAGTCAGGACCAGATGCTGAATTTGAATGATTACGTTGTCTGATTGCATTAGCCTCACGGACTACTGTTGTCCATGCACCTGTTGCTGTGTTTGCTATTATTGACTTTCCTGGTCGATCGTCAGGTTCAATAATAAACTATAATATATATTGTTTTGAAAGAAATAATTAGCAACAGATTCAGATATATAATGTGTGTGTATATAATAGTTATTACAAATATCAAAATAAAAATTACTTTAGGGCCACTTCCACCATCTTCAATTTTGCAAGTATACATTGTTTGATTGTTAGGATCAATCATGCTATTATATGACCTAAATATCACATCACAAAAAAAAATATTATTTAATAAAAATCAACGTTACTAATTATTAATTATTAATTATTAATTATTATATTTTACCTTCTGATAGTATATCCAACAGGGAAAATATACCGATCATTATGAAAAGCTTCACGATCATAAACAACATGACCTAAATCTAAGACAGTCAATATTCCAACTTGAACAGGTAATTTATAATTTCCCTCCCCATCTTTTTCAACATATTGTACTTTCATTGTTTTGGTATTCAATGGTTTTTTACTAGCTCGCTTCTTAGTATTGAGTGATATTGGGGATGTATTTACAATATTGTTAGCAGTAGGTGCGGGCGATGTGCTTCTTCTTGTTGAAGAAGAAGATGTATTTGCAGTAGCGACAGTGGTTGATGTAGAGGTTGTTAACGTTGAAGAAGAAGAAGAAGATTTTCCACGATTCCCTTTAATTGTTAAAGTTCCATTAAGTTTTTGATGACGATTATGGTTATGTTGAATTTGATGATGTTGAATAATGTTATTTTGTATATTATTTTCAGCATCTTCTCCTATAGTTTATTATATAAAATATCATTGTTATTAGATACTATTACTAATTAGAGTAATGTAAAGAAAAACATCAATTTATTACCATCTGACGAGGAATTAGAGTCACTATCAGAAGTTATATTATTGTTTCGTTTTTCGTAAATGCAAATACGATCTAAAAGTTGTCTAATAGTTTATTTATTATTTGATGAATTAAAGTAAAAATACGATATATAAATTAATTATTCACGTATCTATTATAAGCGATAATACTATAAAGTGATATAATATAAGAAACATGTATTAAATTTACTTACTCCTTCTCTCTTCTTAAATTTCTTAATCTTTTACGTGACTTCTCAAGTTCTCTCGATAACCTATCAAAACCCTACCATATAAAAAATAATAATAAGCAATTATGTAAATTATAATGTAAATAATAATAATAATAAATGGAATAATTAATAATTATATCTGGATGAATTTTATCAATTAAGAATTATGAAATAGAATGTTTAACGGGGAGAGAAAACACAAACAAGATCTTGACACCATATATATTCAGGAATAATAGCATTATTACTTACAACTTGTAATTCCTTGCCTTTTCTCTTCAACTTTTGATATCTTTCATATGGTACCATTGACAGGTTGTTATTATTGTTACTATTATTATGATTGTTACCGTTATTATTAGTGTGGTTATTGCTTTGTGCCATACTTTTTCTTTTCATAATTAAAAAGAAAGTTAAAGGTTATTTTTTATTACTTATTTATTAAGTTATTTAAAATTATTTTTTTGAAGAATAAATGATTTTGAATACAAAAAAGTGGGTTTTTTTTTGTGGAAAAGAAAAAAAATTTTTCCTTCTAAATAAATAAATTATTATATATATATGTGTGTATGTGTGTGTGTATATAGAAATATATATGGATGTGGTCGATAAATGCACAAAGAAAGAAATAAAGGAAGAAAGAATAATAATTACTTACCAACAAACAAAAAAAAGAATAAATTTTTTAAGGAAAGATCTGGAAAAATATTTTTATTTTTGAATGTATGTGTAAGAGCGTTTAAATATTTATTTAGAAAGTAAAGCGTAGTGTATGGAGTATGTAGTAATGTTGTGGTAATAATGTAGTGACTGTAATGTAGTTATATACTAATATTAATAATAATATTCAAAGTAAGAATGTTTCTGTATTTAATTTTATTTTGAGAATAAAAGAAGTAATCCATATTTTTATAAAATTTTTTTATAAAAATTCTTTATATATATATATATATATATATATTTATTTAAGGGGGGGTTTGATAATTATTATTTTATTATATTTGGTGGGAAGGTGAATGAAAAGTTCTCTTTCTTTTGGAGGAAGTTATAATAATTTGGATTCTAATTGGTTGAATTAAATCTTTGCCATGTTACACGATTTTGAATGATGGTAGCACAATCCTTTAGAAAAAAAATTTTCCTTGGTTTCCTGTTTTTTAAATGTGTAACAACACATTTTCACCTGGATGCTACATTTTATTACGTAGAAGGATTTGGCTGTATTTAATAAAATAATAATAATAATAATACAAAATTAATGGTTTACCCGTCTTTAGAAAATTTAAAATGTTGTTCATATCTAGAGAACTGGGTTTTACATGATTAATTAATATCAATACCAAGTAAGTAATCAACAGCCAACGATTAATCAATATGTATGTAATATATATGGATGTTTCAATGATGACGACGATCGGCAAAGGCAAAAAATACACATCATATAATAACTACGTAAGACAATAATCAAATAAAATTATTATCAATATGATTATTATAATAAAAATAGAATATATCCAATACAAATTTATTAATTATTGTAAAACGTTTTAATCAATAATATTTATTTTTTCTCATAAAAATAGAATCAGGAAATATTTCAATTAGTGTGAGAAAAAAATAAATTATCTTTAAATTAATTTATCTTTCAAAGGGGAGAGTGATTAAAGAAAGGAAATTTTGTTTGTAACAAAAAAATTTTTATCTTTCAACTGGTATTTAATGAAACACAGAATTTCCTTTCTTGGGGCTAAAGAAATGTAGATCTTCAGTAGTTGCACAACAACAAAAACAGTCATCATCATCGTATCATCGTCAAAAAATGGTACTGATAAGATGGAAAAAATCCCTTGTGCTATTGACAATATTAAGATTGCATTATTTATTTATTATCAAGATAATCTTATATAATTAATTTATCAAGAGTAATTAATTATAATTGATACTATAATAATATTAATAAATATAAATATAAATAAATAATACGGATTTTCCCTAGTCACCAAATTTCTCATTTCATTCCTATTTCTCATTTCATTCCTATTTCTCATTCACATCCCATTCTCATCCCAATTGCAATTAATTCATCTTATTCATTAACTCTTTAATTATTCAAAATGAAAAGATTCATCACTCATCAAATCACTACTAAATATTGCAACAATTCAAATAAATATATTCGTCGAAGTTATAATGCTTCAAATAAATTATTTGATGTAAGTTCTCAAGTTTTTTCTCATCGATTTGAAAGGGATTTTTTTTAAAATTACTTTTTTTTGTTTACTTAGACAGCAGTTTCAGAACATAAAAATGATTCATCATTGTTCGTATCAGAACCAAAAAAAAAAGTAGAAGCTGATAGGGTAAGTAAAAAAATCTATTTCCCAATTATTTTCATTTAAAATAACTGTAATTAACTCTTTTAATATTTATAGGATTTAATATTAGAAGTGTTACATACAGCTCCTAACCAACGTGAAATACAATCATATCTTAAACGATTCACGCCTTTCGTTAATAAAATACAAAAAACTTCAAAGAACACCATAACACCACTAAAAAAAGCATTAGAAACACCACAAGCAGCAGAAGTATCGGCAGCAGCAACGACAACAGCAACTTCATCAGCATCCATAGACTCAACTCCAACAAAACCTTCAACTGCACAAGAACAATCCAAATTATTGATGTCATCCATCCAAAAAGCAGAGTTTGTTGATTCATTGTTTGCAACAAGATTTGAACATATTGCTTTAATAAAATTACAAGGTCCTTTTGTCCCTCTAAATTTAAATTATGTAGCAAAAACTTTGGTTCATCTGCAAAAGTTGGGTCTGATGTCAATCGTGGTATTGGATAATGATGAATGGAGGGAGTTGATGCGGGAAGGCCCTTCCTCATTTGTCAAATTAAGACATTGGATGATGGAGAATGCTACTGATGTTTCTCAAGCAATTGAAAATTGTGGTGGAAGAGCAACACCGATTTATAATGGTATTTTCTCGCTCAAAAATACAAATCGCAATAGCAATGGTTTTTTATCTACTAATACTAAAATTGATGTATCACTATCATGGCTTCAGTCAACGTTAAAATTAGGTCAAATTCCAATGATTCTTCCAATAGCATTAGATGAACAATCTATTCAAAAAACTCTATCACCAAATGATGGAATGATTGCATTAACAAAAGCATTATCGAATCTACCCGAAAACAACAGTTTAAACATAAAAAATCCTAAATTGGAACCAATGAGAATCATAGTTATAAATGAAGAAGGTGGTGTACCTGCTGAAGATCGTAAAGGCTCACATGTTTTCATTAATATTCAACAAGAATATGATGACATAAAAGAAAGTTATAAAGTCAATCCACAATGGAAATTAACTCATCCTACAGGATTAGAAAACTTTGAGATGATCAAATCTTGTCTAGAGATATGCCCTTCAACAACATCTGCTATAATGGTTCCATCATTTTCACCAACAGGCCTGATATCTAATCTGATAACTGATAAACCTTTATTCTCTTCATCTTTACCTCTGAATGCTCGAACCACTCCATCCACCTCAACCACTGTTATACGATATGGACTTCATGTCTATTATCATCACTCATTATCAAATATTAATATTCCTTCACTGAGATCGTTAATAGAGAGTTCGTTTGATCGCAAGTTGGATGTTGATGAGTATGTTAAAAGATTAAAAAAATGTTCAAGAGAGATCATCGTGGCTGGTGATTACCAAGGTGCAGCCATAGTCACGATTGAAGATTGTGGTATTGCTTACTTGGATAAATTTGCTGTTGCCCCCAGCACTCAAGGTATTGGCGTAGCTGATATTCTATGGAAACAATTACAACTTAGGTTCCCAAACTTGTTATGGAGATCTCGTAATGATAATGTCATTAATAAATGGTTAATAAACATTTCATTTTAATTTTTTTTTATTGATAAAATATTTCTAAAAAATTATAATATTAAATATTAATATTTGTATTTGTTATGAATAGGTATTTTGAAAGATCTCATGGCAATTTAAAGGTTCCTGGCACTAATTGGATAATGTTTTGGCATGGCGATGAAGCAATTAATACATTAGACAAATGTATCAAAATTTGTCAAAATGTTCCTGTTTCATTTTACCCAAAAAGGCTACCAATTGGAAACAAATCACATGAAAAATATTGAATCCGTATCAACGTAATTCACCACTTGTTTATATGGGGTTATGAACATTTCACTTTATAATTGATAGATGCTTTTCATCAGCTTCATAAATAAGAGCAACCTGAATCACGTAAAGTCACATATGGTGAATAGTTGCATGAAGTTAGCAATTAGCTTTAACTTTGAAATCGTCAGATTGTAACTCTCATCACAAATTTACAATACCTACATTATTTCTAATCATTGTCATTATCATTACATCATCACCAACAATAATAACATTAAAATTATTTATTTATTATTTATTATTATTATTTATATTTTCAAAAAAATGATTTCATATAATGATTATTGATGTCTATTTTTAGAATATAATTAATATTAAGTATATATATATCGGGTGCTTTTATACCACCCCGTTAGTATTTAGGAAAAAATTCCTAATTTGACTGAAAATTTTTATTACAATAAATAAATAATTTTTTAATTTTTGAAAACGATCTTGCAAGCAAGTATATAATTGAAAGTTGGTATATGATGAATGCCTTAGCGAAATGCCATATGACATCACATATACACAAAATATTAACTTAGTTCTGCGTTGCTTTTCTTGTGACCTTCTCTCATACGTCATAATTGACCTACCCTGATTTCAAATAATGAATTGATTAACCTATTGTAGTATCTTTCGTAAAATGCCGTGATGGCATGATTTTCTTCCCCCCCCCCCCGCTTTCTTCAGCAACTTTTAAAAAAATTTTTTTATGTAAATAATGATGTAAAGATGATGTAATAATTATTTCAGCAATTGCACATACGTAAATTTGCAGATAGGTGAACTCCATGCAGTTGTGAATAATATATGTGTATATGCGTATAGTTTTCCTGATGCAATAAGATGCACGAAGGAAATACATCGTTCATACAATAAACAGCAAGCAAATACGATTAAAACGTGAAAAACAAGAAGCACTACTAAATATACAACAAGAAACATTGACTTGACTGAAAGTACAACAAGCGATCAAAAGAAATCATCATTCTATAATTAAATGATTCTCAGAAAACGGGCTACTTTATGCATTAGGTTCCTTTGCATTTTTGGGGTTTGAAGAGTGAACCTTTAACGGTCTGTCCCATGCATGTACGGTGGACATCTTGGTATGTGCTGAGCAATTTGCATGGGAACGAAAAGAATTTCTATTTCAATCTGACTCTAAGATTAAATGTAGATTTAATAAAATTTTTTTTAGTTTTGGTTTGGGAAATTGATTTGAACAGGGGGCAATGACCCAAGTTTTTTTAATTTTAACATGGTATGTAACATCTTTTACGGTGCGATGCAATTTATTAATATAGATTTTTCCATGCCAACTCTTTTACTTGGCTTTAGGAAGAAATGGACTGGACAATTAAAATTATAATCCCGAATGAAATTAATGGGATAATTAAATATATATATCTGTTGGACATTTCTTTATAGAAATCTTTTTAATGATCATATAATTAGAATGATTAAGTAAAATTAAGAAAGCAAATGTCGTCTCGTCGTTGTACAAAAAGACGACTTAATTTCTAAATATAAAAATAAAAATAAAATTGTTCGACTTTTTTATTTTAAAAAATAAATTATTTCTTCAAAAATGAGTTGGTAAATAGGCATTTTGGAAAATAAAAAATAATTTCATGATTATTTATTTAATTAACGTTTAAATTTATATTTTTCGTTTAAATTTTTTTTGTCTGTATGATATAGGAAAGGTACAACCAAAGCTATTGGTAGATTACCTCAGCAAATCAAACAAAAGACAAAACTTAGAAGTTGTAAGTTATCTGTTTCTTTTAAACATTTCTTAATTCTCATTATTATAAAATGAACAAGTTTAATAATTACTTTTTTTTAATAATTAGCAACGAAAGATTACGAATATAATGATGCGAGTAAGAAATTTGCTGAAGTAGCCAATCACACTGAAAAATTACATACAGACGTTGTAAAATTTAGAGATCAAGTTTCACGTGAGTGAGAATTTTAAAGATATATTCCTTTTCTTTAAATTTAAATTTCACTGTTTATTTAAATTTAATCACTCGTACACTCATACATATATATTTATGCATACATAAAGTTATGCTTAATCATCAAGCAAATTTATCCAATTTATTGGTAGAAGTATACAATCCTATACAAGGATTAGAACCAACTGATGGAGCAGTTGTACGTCGACAGAAAACATCTTCTCATTCAATAAAAGTCGTTGAAAGTTATTCACAAAATGCGAAAGATCTTAGGGACACCATCTTATCAGATTTGGTAAAATATATATTAATAAAACAAACAATTATTATAATTGTTTTTGTTATCATCTTAAAGATATAATCATAATATTAATTAGAATCATTGTTGTTAAAACTTAAAAAAATTAAAAAGGATTTACTTGATCATGAAGTTATCCATCCTATAGCTGATTTCTTAACGGTTATTAAATTGATCAAAAAAACGATTACAAAACGTGATCACAAAAAAGTTGATTATGAACGTTATTCTGCAAATGTAAAAAAATATAAAGACATGAAAGATAAAATATTAAGTGCAAGTGAAGAAAAAAACTTGTATAAGGTAAAAAAAGCTTTAAATGAACTAAAGCGTTATTTAAATATATCATAATAATAATTATAAACATTACAATAATAATATTTATTATTAGCAAGAAGATTTACTTAGTACAGCAACACAAGAATATGAATATTATAATAATTTACTTAAGAAAGAATTACCATTATTTTTCGATTATATGATTGAATTTATTGAGCCAGTATTTGAATCTTTTTATCGTATTCAAATAAGAATTTTCAGGCATTCAATAAAACGTTTGGAAAAAGTTGTAGATAAATCAGATATTGATATTGATTCTTCAATAGTAGACAGTTATGATGAAAGAGTTGAAGATGCAAAGAATCAAATTCAATCATTAACCTTATTAAATCGTGAAGCAAAATTAGCAAAATCTAATCCTGAAAACGGTAAATCGGTGGGGGGAGGTTTTAAAAACATTTTTTGATTAATTAATTGCTTAATTGTAAATTTTTTATTTTATTAAAAAAAAATTATAGTTCGTTTACGTAAACATGCTTCAAAGAGAGATGAGTCAACTTATAAATCAAGAGATTTATCAACATCACCATCATCATCATCATCATCAAATCGATCTTCCAACACTCAAACTTCAAAAAAATACTCTAATAGAAATGGTAATGATCATGATGATTCTGATAGCAATAATAATAGTGATTATGCTCGCAATAGAAAGAAAAATATAAAAAAATTTGATGATGATGATGGAGATGAAGATGAAAATGAAAATGAAGATGAACCACCTCCAGCATATTCAGCAACTCCATCAGTATCAGCTCGTAAAGCATCATTCAATTCAATGAATTCATCCTCTAATTCAAAACTTTTCCCAGTTAACAAAAAAATTCCATCACCAATCCCCCCTCCTATCCCAGCAAAACCAAAAATTGCATATGTCAAAGCATTATATGATTATGATGCACAGGCAGATGGCGATTTATCATTTCATAAAGGGGATAAAATTGAAGTGTTAAAAAGAACTCCTAATACTGATGATTGGTGGGAGGGAAAATTAAATGGTGTTACTGGTATTTTTCCAGGTAAATTTAAAAATTTTTCCTGTATGTGTGTGTGTTTAAATTTTTTGTTTTTTAAGAGATATTATTAATCAAATGATTGTTATTTTGCTTTAAAAATTTTTTAGGGAATTATGTTGAAGAATTATAAGATAATAGATAATTGTAAATAATATTTATATACAATTTTTTTTTTGTTGTTAATGTATGGTTCAAATGAGCCATTTGAATTAGTATTAATAATTTATACTGTACTTAATAAATAATTTATATGGATGGTGGATGACTTATTTTAATTTATTTGCAACATTGAAATAGTTAATCTATCCTACAAAATACTGTTATTTTTAAATAACATAATATATTGATGAGCAGTATGTGTTCTGGAGAAATCTGTTTCTGATAATCCAACTTTTTTAAAATTTTCCATTTCAGATGCTGGATTCCATGACAAAGTTTTAACATCAGGTAGTAAAATTGTAATAAATTCTTTTAATAAGGGTATTGCTGATTTATAATTGAGTGTTGGCAAATATTCTATTTCAATTAACATTCCTTTTTGTGGTGAATTTGAAGCATTAGCTGCACGTATTACAAAATCACCAATGCTATATGTTTGTCCCTAAACAACAACAAAAATTTAATTAATAATTATTCCCAACAAAAAATAAAATTTTGATTTTTTATAAAATTTTTTACCTCAAATTGAGCCATTTGTCTATTCAGCCAAAGATTTTTTAATCTTTTCAATATTCCTTCCATTTCTCTATCAGATTCTACAATAATATCATCTACCAAACAATAAAATTTATCTTTAAAAGCACCACTACTAAATGATATGGTATACATTGATTGTTGTTGTTGCAGCAACTGTTGCTGTTGTATTTGATGATGTTGCTTTAACAATTGGATTTGCTGTAATTGTTGCTGCTGCTGCAGCTGCTGCAGCTGTTGAAGTTGAAGTTGAAGTTGTTGAAGTTGTTGGTGTTGTTGTTGTCGTTGTTGCTGTTGTTGCTGTTGATGTAGCTGAAGTTGTTGAGGTGGTGTTCTTAAATAAAGAGTTGCATTGATTTTCCAATTATCTAAAAGTTTACCTGACAAATTTGATATTATTCGTTCACTCAAATCTAACAAATCTTGATACCCTCCATTGCTAATAAGTAATACACTGAATTAGAAAAAATATTATTATTTATATATTTTATATACATATTAATTTTCTAAAAAATATATTTATAAATATGGATGTCATCTATCTATACCATGTAATACCCATTTTTTTCTTTCCAAAAATACTTTACTTTTTCACATGTTACGCAAATAACGTGATTTTATTTGTAAAATATCAAATATACCTGACGACTGTCTAATATTTTCTAGTCCCTTAATTTAGGGTATAAAAATATTAATGGCTTACGAAGACATGAAACTCAAAATAAAGAATATGGATATCGTATAAATTTTAATTAATATTAAATTTTTTTATTACATTTATACATTTACAAAGATGACTAACATCATACATATACAAGCACACATATGAAATGATCTATAGTTTTTAATTATTATTATATATAATAGACTATTATTGTGATAACAGACTTAACAGCTTTAGGTAAATGTGCGAGGGTTGCATCTTTTATATGTAAAATTTCATTCTCCGAACGAGTCATCTAATTTTTGATTCGAATCAGTTCGGATCGAATTCGAATTGTACTTTGATTCGATTCGAATCTATAACATTCATTAGTATTAGTATTAGTATTAGTTACATTTATTATTAGATTTATTAATGAATTGTGCAACTGTAAATTGTATTACTTTCTATACATCATTACGCTATTGCCATCAATAATAATAACATTAGTGATATGGCCGAAACTACCTGAAATTAATTGGCCTAAACTTTGGCGAAACTAATTTAATGGCCCCGATGAGATTGGGCAAAATTATTTTTAAGTGTTAAAATAAAAGTACGTAGATTGATTTAGAACTTATTATATGTATTGGGCGAAACTACCTTTTTTCAAAAATAGTTTCGGCCACCATCACTAAATAATATCCTTTATCATTTAAAAATCATTAATTTAAAAATATACACAATCTTGGTTTAGCAGATAGTTTGGACAATTAGAAATTTTTTCCAAAAAACCGTTATTACCAATACAGTCAAACCTGCGGACTATAATAATAATAATAATAATAATAATAATAATAATAATAATAATAATAATAATAATAATAATAATAATAATAATAATTAAATACTTGTCATAACGGATTTTTAAAATTATTCGCATATTAATATTAATATTAATATAAAAATCCGTTGTGGCAAGATTAGCAATAATGGATTTTAAACAAAATCTGACAAGGTTTGACTGTATTAAGAAATCCATTATATTAAGAAGAATTTTATTATCATTATAGTTTTAATTTATTTATTATTATTAAATCTCAATCCATTAATATCTATTAAATCAAGGCACACTACTTTGAGATTCACTGTGTAATATAAATTTAATTTGCGTTTTTATAATGTAGGAAGATAATGGATAGAACCTGCATAGATGCCTAAAAGAATATGTTAGATTTATTGGTCCTTTAATGAACCATATAATAGCCTTTTGTGCATTGTCCAACTTTTGGGACATTGTGAGATTTTCTTTGAATTGGTTTCTTAAATTTTTCATGCATGCCATGGTCATAGTATTATTATTACTTTGGTGATGCAATGTTTTCTCTATTTATTTGTAATGATAATATCAACTGTCTTTGCTGTACTATTAAGGAGCAAATTCAAAAGAAAGGTAAAACTAAAATTATTCTGTGATCGGGCGGGACAAGTGTTTACTTATAGCCAACTAAGCCATTTCTTTTTTGGCAGGTGGTGGAAGAGAATGTCTCCATTTGAAATTAATTATTTTAAAAAATTGTGATGATTTTGTTATTATCCTGATTCTAAATAATTCATATATAATTATTAAATGATGAATCTTACACCGATCCTGATGATGCTAGTGAGAAGGAAAATATTCAGATGGAACATCAATGTGAAAAAAGAAAAGCAGCTGATACCTCATTGTGATAGTAATAGTAAAATCGAGATCAACATGGAAGTATTAGTTTTATTTATTTTATTTGTTTATTATTTACTATTTATCAATCTTTAACTCATTATTATATAATTTGTATGTTGAATACTTGGTAAGTAATTCATTGATAGAAGAGAAAGATGATGACGATATTCCTTTAACCAGAAATTAGAACAGGTAGAGTATAACTGGAATGGCTGGACATGTAAGAAAATTTCATTTAAAATCTGTTGAAACAAAATTACTAATCGCGTTTTCATAATTTATAACAGAGATTTTTGAAACATGAATTAATTCTAATCCGTTGAAATGAAGTCCATCGAACAAGGATTATACTGTATTTAGAAAGATATTCAATAGATAGCAGATAAAGAAAATTTTATTGAGTTTTTATATAATATTAAAATCTATCAAGTTAATATGCTATATATTAACTCACAAAAATGACATTCTTGTATTGCTTAATCCTATAATTTGGAAGTTATATGACCAGTTAATAAAATTCCCGCCATGTTTTTTATTTTTCATTCAACGAAAGATCCACACAGAATTCAGCCAATTAGAATTTCATAACATTTCACCGAGTACTGAATTATACGAGAAACACCAAAAACAAAATATGTGCAGAATTTTCCTTTAACTTGGCGGTAAATATTTTTGCAGGTGACTGACTGTGTTAAAGACGGCGGATCTCGATTTGCGAGGAGTCTGACATCCATGATCTCCCAGTCATCCAGTTGCTTGTTTTGTTTTGCGCTCCCTGTATTGCGGAAGTCACGGCCACCGATGATGAGAATAACTTTTTGTTCTGGCAAGAAAAACGTACAATCCGTTCACTAACTCGAACAAAAACGTCAAGGTCCCTTGCATCTACAACACATCGAACCCGAGATTTTCCGCAATTGTGGTAGCATCAAAAAAGTCGCCTATTTTTACTACCGCAGGGGAGTTGTTCACGGGCGAAAACGTCGCTCAGATCATTTGCACGGACATTTTCAAACATGAAGCCACCTGCAAGATTTGTTAAAGGTTTTAAAGGGAGCTAAAGATATGGCAGGTTTTATCATAGAAAAAATATAAATCTGTAATTGTTTAGGAACTTATTGGTCTTCTTTTGACTCTCATTAATTGTGTTTTGCTTCTCCAGAGAGCCATGGACAAAATTTCCAATTCTCTATGGAGCTCAACGGAACATTGGCAGCGGCTTGATGAATTAGGAGAAGAAATGACTCCTCACTATTTAGCAATGAAGATACCGATTACAGTTAAGGTTAAACAATCTGTTAGAGGTTAGTTCTTAAAATATCAAATGACCAAATGCTTTGATTTTAGTTTTTAGGATTGACAGGATGTATTGTGGTGTTCGATGGCGGTTGATCATCAAACATATGTTACATCAATATAACAAATTATTATGTGCGGATTTTTTTAGTATCTTTATCAT